AGGGACTGGTGCTTTGACATGTAGGGGGGTGTCCCAGCCCTGGGGGAGTTCCCTAGAAGGAGATGGGACCCTGTCTCTCTCTCAGACAACACTCTGAATGAGGGACAACTGTGAAGCCCCATTAATCCTGCAGCCCTGGGATCAGCAACAGGGGAGTCCCATCCCTCAGCACCATCTAGAGAGAATCGCGAATTATTGAGAGGTATCACTGTATTCATCCAAAACAGAACTGCCCAGCAGATGATAGAAAGCTTGCTCCTGTAGGCAGCAGTGAGTAACGCAAAGATCAAGGAGAACCATTATGGCTACAGCCATGGACTAAGCAGGCACCCCCCACTGTTTGGGGGACCACTCGCTTAAGTGGTCCAGTAGAGTGGGGAAAGGGGCCCTCAAAAAAGACTGATAATGGCCATCTTACTAACCCCACTGTAATTTGATTAAGAAAAACATTTTTAATGATATTTCTTGCCTTACCATGATGTTGTAACGCAAATGCTTGCCCACTGTATATACGTGTATGTACAGATACCAGCTCTGCCACTTACAAGCTCTGAGACGCAGGGCAAGTTGTTTGACCTTCAAGCTCCAGTTTCTTCAGGGTGAAATGAAGAGACTACGGGTTCCTACTCATTGGGTTTTTATAAGAATTAAATGAGTTAATATGTTCAAAAAGCTTGGTACCAAAGAAGAGCTCAATAAAAACAGCTATTGCATAAAGGCACAATAAACAGAGAAGCATTTCTATGCATTCACTAACCTCTCTGGTAATACATAACAGAGCCAATAAGAGCCTTAACCTCACCCCACAAGAAGCAAATTTACAACCTTCTTAGGTGAGACCCTCTGGATTTTTAGCACCCCACTCTGGTTAGCACATCTCTCACCTGAATTATACCAACACCGTCAGCCAATCTCCACATGACCTAAAATTTCCCAGTGGCTCCTCAAGACCTTCAAACCACTGTCGTAACTTGGCCTTGAAACCCCCTCGTTAAACAGCACCCACTGCACCTCCCCAGCTTCATTTTTTATTCCTTTCTGGCAGCCCCTCCCGAGGGGACTAANTGCTTCTCAAGCCATTTCTTCTGTTTGTATATACAGTCTCTTTTGGTTTCCTAATGGTCATATCTGACACAGTTCTAATCATTGAAAATGGCCCTTATAGTTTAGCAGGGATAAATAAAACAATTTTTAAAGCCCCCAGGAACAATTCTTTATGCAGATGTTTTATTTCATAGCCCAATCTTATTTATAGTGGCTCTAATCAGGGGTCTGCAAACGACAGCCCACAGGCTAAATCCGGCTCACTGCCTTTCTGTATAAATAAAGTTTTATTAGAACACAGTCATGTACATTTGTTTGTGTTTTGTCTATGGCTGCTTTTGTGCTTCTGAGGCAGACTTGATTAGTGGTGACAGAGACCATCTGGGCCTGCAAAGCCTGAAACATGTATTATCTGGGCCTTTACAGAAAATGTTTGCCAGCCTCTGCTATAAAACGTGTATGGGGGACCAGAGTTGCACAACATATTTCATAGCATGCATCTCTACAGTAATTAAATAAGTTTCAATGCCCGTTTATCCTGCTATATGTAAGTTCTTTGAAAGGTAAGGACTATGTATATCTAGTTCAATATTTCTTTCCCCCAGAGGCTGAGCAAAAGACTAGCACACAGTCTACCAAAAAAATCAATATTTGTTGAATGAATAAACTAAGTTGTTAGACAGATTTTGAGTTTTTGAGGGCCACAAGCATGTTTCAGTCTTAAGTCGGAACCTGACTCATCACAATTTCTCAATAACTGCATGTGTGCTACATGATCAATGGCATGGACTCGGAATTTAGGGCATGGGTATGTTTTGCAGGAGATTTAATGACACAACACACCCTTGTCTATATTATGATGAGTATCTCCCATGACACACCACTGGTCCCATCCTTTCTCTAACTTCACAGTCCTCTCTGTTACAAGCCCTGATATCTGATGCTTGGCTCTGATAGTGCTGGTCTCATCACTGATTTGTAACACTGGTCCTCCATCCCGCAGACTCCATCTGCGCTTCACACTGTGGTTCCTTCCAGCCTGCAGGGGCTCTGTGGGCGTGCTAAGCTCAGCATTCATCCCCAAGGCACATGGGCATTCAGCTACGAACACTTATATACAAGAAAAACCAGGAGCGGATTCAATTCTGGAAGGATTCAGAAAAGAGCACCTCAGCCTGCCACTCACAAAACTTATTTGTCATTTGGATAGAAAGAGGATGGTTTCATGCGAAGAAGAGAGAAATCAGACTCTCAAGCAGGCAACAAGATTTGGAAAAAGAATTAAGAGCTTGAGAGTCAGACAGTCCTGAGTAAAAATCTAAGCTCTAATACTTACTAGCCGTGTAAACTTGAGCCAATCAATTAATTTCTCTGAGATAAAACTACCTTAACGACTAAATGTGTGTAAAATGATAACATTGCAAGGACATTATGATGATAGATTTAAGGTGCCAAACAGTGACAGGTGCTATATACATTTTACTGCTCTTTCCCCTTCATATTTTAATGCCAAGAAGAGAGCCATCTTTGAAAATGTCCACTTACCAAGCATTCCTTTCTTAGAACTGGACAGACACATGTCCTTCTCTGCGCTGGGCAGGGCAAAACTCACCACGAACACTTCCACCCCATCGGCCATCAGGGCCAAACCCAAGACGAAAAAGAGGATCCACTGGAAGCGCCCGTGGCCACACTCGTCAATGATGGTCTCATACTGGTGGGCCAACTGCTCCTCATCTTCCATCCTCTCGGCAATCAGGTCGGCCCTGCCACGAAGGCCGTCCGCCCTGGAGGGCGCCATCTTGGTCTGCTTGGCCTTGACGTCATCTGGGTGAGGGATACCCTGGTACTCGCCCTCGTAGATCTCATCCTCCTCATCATGGCCTTCTGTGACGTCACTCTGTGCATCCTCTTCTGGGTTGGACTCATTGCCACGATAATAGCCATCACTGGGGGCATA